TGCTGCTTCCTCGAGTTCTGACTCTTCACTCGAACTCCGGTCGCCACGTGCAACAGTCCGACCTTCGCCTTTCTACTGCTGTATCCGCTGTGCCGCTTCCCACTTGAGCGATCATCACTTCGGGTCCTCGTCTGATTGCGCGTTGACGGCTGCCAATACCTGCCGTTCCAGAACCTGCCCTCAGGGACGTCCCATGTGCCTGTGAACTTGTTATAAACGCCCTGGGGGTTGGTGAAGTATGCTATCTCCGCACCTTCCGTACCCGTCTGTGCCGCTAACATGTCCGCCATCGATACCGCTCCTGTGCCAACGCCTGGAATAATCGCAACTCTCCCTGTCGTACCGTCCATAGGCACCGCAAACGCGTTCGTTGCCGTCGCTCAGGGCTGGCCAATGTTCACCATCCCGCGCGCTACGCTCTCGATCGGGTCGCCGATAGCCGTCGCCTTGTTCACTGCCTGCTCCAGCGTTGTAGGCGCCGGTTCCTGCTTCACCAACATCCTCGTCGTCTTGTCCAGATTGCGATAGAACTGTGCCAATAGGGTATGTTCACTGACGTGGTTCTGGCCCGTGACTGCCCGCAATCCGGCAGCAAAATCCGCAAACGTCTCTCCCGGCCACATCATCCTCTGGTACACACGCCATTCAGCCATTGCCTGGTCCGGCCGCTCACCGTACCTCCGCATCAGCGCCGCTTTCAAGTGGGTCCAGGTCTTGTCTTCGTCTCGGAGCTCCTGGTTCATTTGAGCCCACCAACTTGCCGCGTTGTCCTGCAACTTGTTGCCAACGATGAAGTAGAGCTCCTTGTCCGTCCAGTCGCCTCGTCCAGAGATCTTCGCTCCTTCTACCGCTAAGTCCACGCTAACGATCCATGATGAGACGGAGATCGTCGGCGATGGCTTATACGCCATCAACACCAAGTCTTTCACATTCTTCCGGTGCTGGCGCCTGCGTCGTGGTTGATTCCTGCGTCGGTTCCGTCGCCGCCGTCGTCCACCGTTGCCAGCTTCGGCGTCATCGCTGCTACTATCGTAGCTATCGTCACTACTACTGCTGTCGTCGCTGTCGTCGCTGTCGTCACTGCTATCGCCACCTCCACTTCCATCGGGTGCTGGTGCCCTCCACTCGTGCTAGCTGGTGTCGAGTTCGCCCTGTTCCTCGTCGCTCTACCCGACGATGGTCTCGAGGACGCCGAGGAACCTGCATGCGGCGGTACGATCCTCGTATCAATTGATCGCAGCGTATTGGTGGGTCCGGTTGATGGCATGGATACTGGGCGTGACGATGCCCGAGCGGTCTCCATCCCTGATACCCGTGCCTCCAACCTAGCTACCGTCGTGATCATCCTGTTCAAAGTGGCTAAGAGTGCTGCGTCACCGCTGCCTCTCGTCGCCGTCTCAGCTGCGGGTGCTTGTCGAGCACTCCCTACTGTCCCTGCATCCGCCGCCGCGTCCGTCGTTTGAGCCTCCGGAGCCCTTTCGTCGCCTCTTGCGTCGTCGCTGCGTGGCCCGTACCGCGTCTAGACCCCGTGGTCATGCTGCTGGATCACTGCCGGTTCGTCGTTTTCCCCTCATTGACCACTATAGTGAATCGTAGTACAACGATCCGTAACCCGTTCGTAACTTATCCGAGTCGTCGGTCTCGTAAGGCTGGTCGATCTCGTAAGTGTCAAGCGTCGCGTAAGTCGTTCTCTTTTGCTTATTGCCCCTGTATGCCCACCATGTAACGTGTCTTAGGCTCCCCTGCACGCCGGGGTTGGTCGCCCAGCGCTGATTACGTCCAAAGTCCGGATGGCCGACGGAGTCTATTCGTGCTCCGCGCCGGTGTCTGCCTCTTAGACAGGAACACCTACTTTATTTCGTTTCAGCTACTCAATCAAATGCAATCGTCCTACCTAATGCCCTGACTCAGTCTGTTGACGCCATTGCGCCCGAATGACCAGTTGTCCTGCTACTAGACACTCAAGCTCGGCGCACCCTCGAGGTACCGCTATATGCGCCGTTCACAGGGGAGCCACAGCTACTTTTGCCACTCACTCACCAAACTCTGTTGCCGCGGTACACCAAGTCCGTCCGTTCGCTCATCTGGTCCAACTCGTGCTCGACGCTCGGGTCAAGTCGCTCGCTGGCGTTCGTTTCGTCTGGTCCAACTCACACCCGGCTCACGAGCCAAGTCGCTCGCTGGCGTTCGTCTGGTCCAATGCGCGCTTGACTCACGGGTCAAGTCACTCACTGGCGTTTGTATCTCGTCCGGTCGGCTACTGGGCACTCGGTCCCCCGTCGCCGCAACTGTTTCTCGATCCGCGCTCTTCACCGCAGAATTCGTCCTCTGCTCTACACCGCAGATTTCGTACTGTCTTCTCCGCACCAGATTCCGTTCTCTGTCTTCCGTTGGCCGTACACCATTGTGTCGACCCAACAGATCCCGGGTCTGGCCCGCGGTACTTCAACCAGCTGTCGTCATTCTCTTCATTGTTCGTCCTACAGTGATCCGGCAGCTGCCTGCCTTCGCGCACGCCACTCCGTTCTTCGTCACTCTGTTGTCGTGCTGCACCCGTACGTGATCGCGTCTCCTTACATCAGTGTTAAGGAGTAGTTGGACAAGCGACTTCTAACTGCATGGTGCGACGTTGAGTGGGACGTCGACGTTGCTAACGTCACCGACGACTTCATCCTGGCGAAGATCGACGAGATCATTGCGTCAGTAGAAAAACAACGCTGTTCCGTACGTCGTTGCCCTTTTTAAAGGAAAATGTCGTCATCGACATAAAGGAAAGTGACGTGAAGGAGAGAATGATGCAAGTTTTCGTCCGAAGTCGTGAATTCATCGCTGAACAAGGTTGGTAATCCTTTTTACTAAAAATGAGGGTGAGAGGCTTAAATGCAAGCTATTGATTGAAGCACTTGAGCCTCGCAGCCTTTGTGAAGAGGTGACAGCCGTCGTTAAGTACCAAGCTCGGACAGCGAAATAAGATGAGAAGGAGCTGTTCAAGCTGATACTTGAAAAGGCATTTGAACAGGACCGTGACTTCCAGCGCCGCAAGCGTTCACGTCGCC